AATTGCTTAGATGAATATTTCATATATTATATAGGGGAGTCAAAATTAATTGGTTAGTCTAGATTGACTTGCCTGCTGCTAGACCTAGTTTAGGTCCATAGTGGGCTCAAAACAAGCTTGCTTAATAATTGGAAGATTTGATCAATAAACAAGCCTGAGCAAGGGCAGTGTTAGGGGATAAATCCCACAATGGAGAAAGATGAAAATATGATATACTCTTCTTAACAAGATTGACTTTTAAGATAATATATTAAATTTTAATATAGTATCAGAGCCCACTAAACTCAAACGAACAATTCGACCCGACTAAAACTCAAATGAGCACACAAATGATAAGATTGGTGTGGTGATAGCAATATTGTACCCGCCCTACTAGGGAATTTCGCTCGCTAGCCTTGCTCGTATCTCTGCCTAAGATTGGGTCGAGATTCCCATCACCTCATTTATAGCCCAATTCTTTATTTTTTTTTCTTTTTTTTAATCAATTTTTTTGTTTTCATTACACGGATGCTAGATTGGCTTGAATGATATGATAATAAGTCTCTATCTGGTAAAAAGCCCCAGTTTGGTGGCCAGTTTATTGGAAAAATATTATTTTGAATAATGGATTTTTGAAAAATGTGTGGTTAAAAAATATGAAAAATTTTATGTTTATGTGTAGAATATTTTATTTTGTGAATGTATAGTTGGAAATGAGTATATAGAAAAAAGAGTTTTGTAATAATATGAGAAAAACATGGACTTAATTTTTTTTTTTTTTCCAATTTTCATAATAGAAATGGGATGATGTTTATATTTTTAAGTATAAATAGAGAGGGTTCGGGTGGTCCCTAGGGGATTGGATCTTGCAGAAGTTCTTTCTATCCTTTTATTATTGTTCTTAAACGAGGCAATATCTTTTTGTGATATTCAAGAAAGATAAGAATATTAACCAACGTTTAAAAGTTCGGGTTACTTTTTTCAACAGGGTTGACATTTTTAAGTGGAACCTTAATTCTTAATACACGGGTCCAGCATTTGTTTTGTAATTATAATTCATTTTAAATTAAGCCACAATAAAAAATAATATTTTATAGGAGATGAAAAATTGTGCAAAAATTGTAGAAGATAAATAAATATTTCTAGCCAAAAATGTGATTCTTAAAAAAATAGATTAGAATTAGTGGATCAAAAGAAGTGAAAGACAGCTTAACTCTTTTGTTTGGATCAAAAATAAGGAAATTACATGAGAAAGTACTGTAACTATTTGTCATATTCCATTTTCATTGTTCAAACTCTTTCAGAAAATACGGCAAAAGGAGAAATCAAAGAACCGGCCAATTTGTTCGAAACCCACCCACCATCTTTTGGGTTAAACTACTCGTACACACAACGTGTACATCTTGATTGACATCTCCATATGTGTCAAAAATCTGACTATTGATTAGAAAATGTATAGACAAAATCAATGTACCAAAATTTGACAACCTTCATATACATATAGCATGACTCCTATCTTTTACCACCCCTTTTACAACAACCGAATATGAGAATATTAACCAACATTTTAAAACTTTACTTCTCTGAAAACGGATGATATTTTAAAATGGAACATTTTAAATCTGAATACACCTGTCTCTTTTATTTAATTTTATTTGTCATTATAATGCAGTTTAAATTAAGCCACAATAAAAA